GACTGGGTTGTGTCCTTGACCCTCCTACCCCCACCAGTAGGGGGCATGCAGGAGGCAGCCAGGTTCTATTGACATATGTCTTTTCTGGTTCATTGGCTAATATTGTAGAAAGCTGATGATTCAACTATATAGAACAGAAATTAGAGGAGATGGGTAGGCTGGTGATCATCTTTAAAAAATTAGCTCATTTCTTTAAAATATATATATATATATATATATATATATATATATATATATATATATTTTTTTTTTATTGATTTTTTTATAGAGAGGAAGGGAGAGGGATAGAGAGCTAGAAACACTAATGAGAGAGACATGGATCAGCTGTCTCCTGCACACTCCCCACTGGGTATGTGCCCTTGACCAGAATCGAACCTGGGACCCTTGCGTCCACAGGCTGACGCCCTACCCACTGAGCCAAAAGGGTTAGGACAGGTTCATTTCTTTATGGTGATTTTAGAAAGCTCTCTTATGCCCCAACCATTCTCCATTTCCTCAGTCCCAATTTTGCTCAGGCCTCACCTAGCTTTTACACCAAACACAGGCTATTTAAAGTTGGAATTGCTGGGTTTGGATTTCCGTAAGGCCTAAATAAAGTGGCTCCTGGTTCACTCTCCCCTTACCCTCCTCTGTGGAGAACAAGACTGAGCAGCCTGATTAGGGACGCAGAGCTGGGAACAGCACAAATGCAAAAGAGGACTTGCAAAGGGGAAAAGTGTGCTTTTCTGTTTTCGAAAACCTGCTGACATAGGGAATGCTTCTGTTTTTCTGCAGAAATGCTGTCTTCCATGGACAAAATTCAGCCACAATCAAGCTAATTGAATGCACAAATGTAATATTTTTTTCCAGGGCACCTCCAATTTAATGCTTGATGAAATTGTGTCTTTCGCATATATTTACAAAAGCTTTTCTTCATCCAGAAATGTCTGTTAAAATTGCTTATAGATGCTGAGATAGCAAATCACTCTTCTAATGTAATGAGATAAGTCATCTCTATAAACTTTGCTTGCTCAAATGTACTCGCATAAAAGAAATCAGGCTACAGGCTTTCTTCAATAAATAGAATGAACAACTAAAACTTGATGGCTATAGCATGTTCTGCCTCATTGCTAAGAGATGTTTAAAATTGCTCCCTCTCTCTCCGGCAGCAGAGCTTTCATTCCGGTAGCTGATGGAAAAAGGAGGTCAAATAAACGGATGTGGATGGGAAGCCAAAGCCGTTTGTCAAAACGCGGGGAGAGGCCTGGAGTCATTTAAACACTAAAAATTGATTTAAAAGATTTCTGTCCTCAAGTCATTTTTCTTGCTAAATGTAGCCACTTTGTGAACCTGGCTTCCCCTGCCTTAGCTATCTTTACTAATAGTTTATGCCACGGGAGCTCTGCATACTGGGGAGACTCCTACGCATCGTCATTTGTGCATAGCCCTGAAAAACAGGCCCAAAGATCACCAGTCCATGCAAAAGATGAGGCCTTGTGAGGTTTATCCATCTGTCCCCAAGTAAGATTTGTCTTCCAGCTTCCATCTAGAAGCCTATTCTGTGACAAAATGTCTCACAGGCCATCTCTCACACGCATAGGGTCACCCTAAGGGCCCTCATGCATGGCTGCTCAGGTTGTGCACTGTCCAGCTCCAGGGGAGACACCATTCCCAGAGACTACAGTGTGGAGGGCACCATTTGGGATTAGTGCAAGGTGACAGCTCCGCCCAGCACCACCACACTGATGGCCGGGGGTCGGGGTGTGGGGGTGGGGGTGGGTCCACTTGTTCAGTCATGGTTCAGTAAACTTTCATGGCTATACTGCATGCATTGCCTACCTACCTCCTCAAAGAATAAAATCACAGTTTATTAGTGGACAAAATGTGTGTCTCCGTTCCTTTCTGAAGTAAAATTGTATGGGAGAACACTCAAATCTTCAGATGGTTCTTTAAGGAAAGGCTTGACTGAGGAAGACTGGCTGGAATCCAGGAGAGTAGGAGACCAAATTGCAGGTGCCCTTTCTGTCAGTTTTGGAAAACACCAAATAACCATTGCTCTGCACCAAGAGGGACAGCAGGTAAACATTGGGAATGGTTCTCCAGGAGCCTCTCTCGGACCAGCCTGCCTTTTGGACGTTGCCTCATGCCTGCTGGAGGGGCCAGACCAGAGGCTGGGCCGTGCTGGGCCGGCAGAGCAGAAGCCTGCCTCACGCCGGCCATATAGCCCTGCCTTCTCCTCCGCCACCTGCCTCTGCCGCCTGAAACACACTGCATGGTGGGAGGAAACTAAGCCTAGATCCTCCCTGATCTGAAACACAGCTCCTGACAGCCCCTGCCCAGCCCTAGCAAAGCTGAGTTCGATTCAACAATTCGGGGTTAAACAGAAAGGTCTTGGTTTTTACACAGTTCCTTGAACTCTGCCCCCCACACATGGAAAAGTACACTTTGGGATTTGAGGCATCAATTCTAATATGCATAGGGGGGTATATTTGAGAAAACATCATTTTTTTTCCCCCCATAATCTGCTTTTTAAAGACTAGCTCAATGAACATAGAGTCATAGTAAGCAAACTGCGGCTCGCGAGCCACATGTGGCTCTTTGGCCCCTTGAGTGTGGCTCTTCCACAAAATACCACAGCCTGGGTGAGTCTATTTTGAAGAAGTAGCATTAGAAGTTTAAGTTTAAAAAATTTGGCTCTCAAAAGAAATTTCAATCGTTGTACTGTTGATATTTGGCTCCATTGACTAATGAGTTTACCAACCACTGGCTTAGACCCTATGGGCCACTAGTGGCTTAAGCTCCCCCAGAGTTCCCATCTACAGTTTACCACAGGATCAAAATAGCAAGTCAATCAGTTCACAGTTATGTTTGGTCAACAGGATATTGTTTTTATTGAATTTGAATGTTTGAAGTGGGGCAGGCATCTTCCATTTCTCCAGACTTCTTAGTTCTGCCCAGCCAGCCCATTTCATACATGTATTTGTATTACCTGCCAGCCCCTGCAGACTACAGAATTTGCCCTAGAATTTATTGGAATTTGCCAAGAAAGGTACAGGTGAACTGCTCAGGGTCTAGAGCAGGGGTCTTCAAACTTCTCTCATTATAAGAATCACCTGGTGGAGGTGTTAAAACACAGATTCCTGAAAGCACTTCTTATAGTTGGGATCCAGGAATCTGTGTTTTAACAACTCCACCAGGTGATTCTCATAATGAGAGAAGTTTGAAGACCCCTGGTCTAGAGCAGTGTTTCCCAACCTTCTCTCATGATGAGAATCACCTGGTGGAGTTGTTAAAACACAGATTCCCGGATCCCAACTAAGAAGTGCTAAACTAGAATTTTTGGGAACATATAGGTAAAATTGCATACCTAACTTAGTGCTCTGTATATAAAATCTGTCTTAGAGCACTAGTTAGGTATACAATTTTACCTATATGTTCCCAAAAATTCTAGTTTAGCACTTCTTAGTTGGGATCCGGGAATCTGTGTTTTAACAACTCCACCAGGTGATTCTCATCATGAGAGAAGGTTGGGAAACACTGGTCTAGAGTCATTGATTCTCACCCAGGATCAGCAGGTGTCAAGAATTAGTGGTTGATACAGCACCCTCTAATGAGGAGAGAATGCAGTGTTAAGGGTGTGGGGCGGGCAATTCAACTAGCCCCCACTGCCTCCCCCCTCTCCTCGCACCCACACCCAGCCATACACCCTGCTCAGGGTAAGTATAAGCAAGCTGTCTGCAGTGCCTGTATAAGCCCTGTCCTAGGCTGGTAAGCCTATGAGCACCACCTTTACATTATAAACATAGATACATAAGTAATAGACACATGCTTGTTGTACAGTCTATTCATGCAAGGACAATAAACCATGTGGCTACGGAAGGCCCCTGGCTGATAGGAGAGAGAGAGAGACATAGTTTTCACTGTATGTAATCTTTTGTATCTTTTGAAATGCAAACCAGTTGTATGAATTGCCTTTTCTCCATTACCAGAACCCTAAGACTGTGTGGAGAGCTCCCTCCCAGCTATAAAACTTCAACCTTTGACTCCAGGGCACAGCTCAAATGTTCCCTTCCCCTCTGGGTCATCTTCCTTCCTAGCCAAAAGCAATCACTTTTGCGGTCCTGATCCGGAAACTTCCGTTTACGTCCTTTACCAGAATGCTATGGCCTGGCTCACTGAAGTGGTCCGGGGGGTTGGGGCAGGATGCTACTTATTTCTATAAATCTAAGGGCTTAAAAAAATATTTGCTAAACAGAACTCACCGACCCCTCTCCCCTTCCTAGTTTGAGGCCACCACTGATGCTTATTTTCACCTTATTTAGCTGCAGAAAGATGAGCAGAAGAGGGGTAACTCTGGGTTACTCCCCCATAGGCAGCATCATCTCCTGGGTATGGAGAGATGGCCAGTATAACTTTCTATTATAACTAGAGGCCCGAGGTGTGAAATTCCTGCACCCAGCGGGGACAGGGGTGTCCCTCAGCACAGCCTATGCCCTCTTGTAGTCCAGGAGCCCTCAGGGAATGTCCAACTGACTGCTTAGGCCTGCACCCCTAAGCCATCAGTTGGACATCCTTACCAGTGGTGAGTCTGGCTTCCAGCTGCGCAGCCCTCCCCATGTGGGAGCGCACTGACCACCAGGGGACAACTCTTGCATTGAGCATCTGCCCCTGATGGTCATTGCATATCATAGTGACTGGTCTTTCCACCATTCAGTCAATTTGCATATTAGCCTTTTATTATATAGGATGAGCATGTTCTCTCCCTGTGCTGTGCAGCCACTAGCTGCTCACCACACATGGTACTGAACATCTGAAATGCGGATGGCATGACAGAGGACATGAATTTGTTCTCTTTCATTTAGTTTTATTTCGTTAGTCATATCTGTATAGTGGCCATTATGTCAGACTGCTCAGCTCTAGAGGGTTCATCCTCTAGGGACAGGCTTACCAGCTGAATCATATGGCCCTCAGGGATATTTGATTTTTAAACAATTTAAATAAAAGCAAGGTCAACAAAATGATTGGTTCTAAAGTAAAAATTCAGTTTATTCATCTGTTTACAACACAGTACACAAGAGGCAAAGTGTTTCACATCATAGATTTCATTTCCAACTCTCGGAATGTTCATTTCTTTGGCTAAAATGAGAGACTAGATGGGAAAGCCTGGCAGTGCTTAGGCAACTGAGAGAAGGTGAGGCAGAAGCAACGCTGACAGCATCCTCACAGGGACGGGCACAGGGACGGTCAAGGGATGGGCACTAGTCACAAGCAGGTTTCCTAGAAGTATTAGCTGGAAGCATAGGAGCACCACTCCTGGACGCTCAGGCCGCTGTGGGCTCAGTCATCCCCACCACACAGGTACAGCAGCGCTTTCTGGTAGTCACCCTTGGTGTCTTGCTGCAAATGGTCAAAGAGAAAAAGGAAATTCAGTATTAAAAAGAAGATCCAAAATTTGTCATAATATACAGGCAGAGCCACTGCAACAGAGCTTCTCCCAAATTAACAAGAGAAAACTCTGCAGGACCTGTCTAGATACAAAGGCCCAGAACGCCACACCCAAACCACCACCACCACCACCACCACCACCACCACCATCATCACCACCACCACCACCACCACCACCACCATCATCACCACCACCACCACCACCACCACCACCATCATCACCACCACCACCACCATCATCACCACCACCACCACCACCACCACCACCACCACCACCATCACCACCACCACCACCATCACCACCACCACCACCACCATCATCACCATCAGAGAACCCTCAGGGAGTGTGGCCTCAGGGCGACTTTCAAGTCAAATTATTACCACAGGGGAGGAGTGAATGCGAGGTACTGGGGACTCATATGCTAAGTGACCGCTCTAACTGCCCTGAGGTCCTGCCAACACCACCATGTTCTCCCTGGTCCTCCCCTTCCAGAGAAGGCGGCGTCCTTGCCTGCCTCAGTGCTGCTTCCTAAACTTAAGGTCACACGGAAATAAGCTGGTGAGGTGAAGAAACAATGACTCCGAGTCTAATCAGGGCCTACACTTTACACAGATGCCCTAATAAGCCTGGGCACATCTAACCCACTTCTAAATTCATCCTTGTAACCACTGACATGCCTTTGGAAACATCAGGATCTTTTATAAAAAGGGACTGCAACACCTGTCTGAACTACACACAGTGGACTGCTGGGAAGGTCATTGCTGGTTACACATGAATTCTCCATCTCTCCAAAACATAGACTAAACTGGGTGAGATGGGCATTCTGGGCCAATCACAGAGGATTTTCCAAGAAATGGAAATACAATTAATATAAAATGTAATCAGTCTAAATTTCTTGAGGCTGTCAGCAGCTCTTAAGGGGTCATCATCAGGAACACCAATTATCATTGTGGAATAACTCAGGTGGGAAACGGAAAACATTTGCCTCTTCTATAGGATTCCAGGACAAATCACACTTTCAAAATGAACCCCTGGAATTTGGTGACTATCTCTTCCCCAGTGATTTAGAAAACACAGACCCTCCCCCGGGCCCGGGCCCCTCAATGGCAGTGCGGGTGACGCGGCAGCGTGGGCTCACCTGGATGTAATAGTACAGGGACTTGCCGTACTTCCTCTTGAATTCAGACCTGATCTTCAACATGTCCACTTCACTGCGGGAGATCATGATTCTGATCAGGACCTTGTCACGTGTCCCCTTGCCCTGAAAGTCAAGGTGATGTTCCAAGTTACAATCCACTGAGAGCAATGCTAATCACAGACCAATTGAGCACATTTTCTTGCTGGAACTGATCTGCATTCTAGATGCTGCTCACTAAGAGATCCCAAATGGAACCATTTGTGACTATTCCCTGAAGAGAAAATGAGCATGAAACACAGCAGGGTGACGTCTGCACAGACTCCCACATGTGCATTCACATGAACGTGGGCGGAGCACTAAGCACTGCAAGGCTCGGTTCAATGAGTGTGCAGGTTTGTTTACACATGTAACAAATAAGTCCCAGCTCTCCGGAGTTTGGAGAGGCCACACTGTCACGTATTCCTTGTGGCCCTGTGCCAGCGTGCATGGCATGAACAGAAAGACCACTGAGTTTACCTGCAGAGCCTCAGACCATGGGTGCCAAGGTAAGGGTCATATTTTACATGAGCCTGAGGAGAGATGGGAGAGGCAGTGTGGACAAGGGGGTGACCCAGGAGGATGTGGGCGGGCCTGGAAGATATAAAGTCCCGGGCACATGTGAGGCATGAAAAATGGGATGGGATTGTGGGAAGAGATGCTTCATTCACGGGACAGTTGCTGGGCTGGCTTTGGAGTCTGTAGACTCGGGTTCCAATGTGGCTATGGAACCTCAAGGAAGCTGAAGCTTTCTGAGCTCCAGCCTCCTCACCTATAAAGAAACTAATGACAACAAAACAGCAAGCCTCAGGTTCTTTGGTAATTATTTAAGTTCAAGTAAGTTGCACAATGTCTACTATATCGTGGCTGCTTCACAGTCTCTCCCTCCCTTGCTGGTCTTCTCTCAAAGATAATAGGAGGGAATTGCTGAGAAACCTGAGCAGGAGTCAGGTGCAACCTTCCCTGGCTTTCTCTCCCCGGCGCTTTGTTTTCTACCCGTACACAAACATGTGCTCCTGCTGGCTGGTGCACCCTGCACCTAGACCTTGGGGCTCCTTTCTCCATCACTAGGCAGGGGGACTTAGTTTGAGGACATGAAAGAAGAGACTAATGTGGAAATCTAGACCTCTCAGCCGCTGCCCTTACCTTCATGGAGTCGTACAGTCGGTCAGCAAAATACAGGGGCTTGTTCTGGATGCACTGGACTGTGGGGAGAAGCAAAGGGGTCAGTTACTCCTCTGTCCACCAGTGGGGATGAGGCTCTGAGCTGGGCACACACCAGATGACCTGAATGGGCCACAAAACGGGAGGGTCTGAGAGAACACCAGGGACCCTGCACGGCACTCAGCTCCCTGAGGCTGAACACTGGGAACTCCGAGGCCACAGAAACCTGGGGTCAATGAGAACATCTCCCACAGAGCCCTTTCTCTGGTTACTTTTGTGTCAGTTTACCGAGGGCAGACGTCCGCCGGGGATGGGGGGCCACACTTACTCACCCAGGTTGAGGAAAGCATTTTCCAGGTCTCCCTTGACCTCCTTCTTGATGCTCTCCAACATGTCATAGGGGCTGTAGCTCTTGTACCTGTCAAATACTAAGGAAAAGCAACAAGTAATTACTAAAATGGAGCCTCCAGTCAAAGCTGTCAATGATCACCCACAACATTGTATACCACATTTGAAAAAAAAAGAAAGAAAAAAAAGGACAATCACAGCATCCTAACGGCTAAGGGGTTGCCATGGTACCCAGAGTTGACATGGTACCAGTTGCCCTGGGGCAGCTGTCCCATGCACTTGGCCTGAATGGCACAGCCCGGGCCATGTGTGGACATATCCCCTGAGTGGAACCCATTCTATCTGGAAGCCACAAGAAGCAATACACAGCACCCAGCAGAGTCCATGACTTCAACACATGAAGCAAAACAGAAGGATCCTCAGACAGGAAGGGGCAGCAAGTTAAAGCACCAACCCATGGGAGCTACATAGGGGAAGCAAGGACCCACAGTGGGAGAGGGCAAATGGGCCTGGTGAGGGAAACAGGGGGCGCGATGTAGAGAGCGGGCTTGGCTCTGGCAGATGGGAGCCCCAACACCGACACCGGGGGCCCCAGGAGCGCACGGCACCCACCTTTCTGGAGGTGGAACACGCTGCGCTCGGTCATGATGCTGATCCACTTGGGAACGTCAGTTCCTTTCCTCTTCACTCCGGCGTCATAGAGATCCTACGAGCACAACCCCCGGGAAAGGTAACTACAGGACCCACAGCCAGGCCATAAAAACGTCACTCAAAAACACCAGAACCTACACATTCAAAACACCAAATGAGAAAGGACGGCGGCACTACAGACTCGGGGGAAATGATAGGAGGGCGCACGTTTTCATCAAGAGCAGGCTTCCTTAGACACGGACAGATCTCCATGAGACCAGATTGCTCATGAGGCCTGTGCTGCACAAATCTCCTTCCTTGGACACCGGAAGGACTGGGAGCTTCTATGCGCACAGAGAAGGACACACAAGCATTCAGTAGCACATCCAGCCCTCCTTCCTTGTTGGCACCGTAACAGCAAGTATGCTAGTGGCCAAATAGGGAAAGTCTGGGGCCCACACCCAAGCTTCTTAGAGACTCGGGAAATGACGGAGCTGAGAAAGGAGCCAGGCCAACCTAATCTTCAGTTTCTGGAAAATTTAAAGGCTATAAATAACGCTAACAATGGTGGGGAGGGTGGGGGAGAGGCATATGCAAGGGTCGATACTCATCCGTGACCATCCATTATCCGGAAGTTGCAAAACCCTCCTTCTATTTATTATTTTATTTTAAAACCTTCTCTACCACTCGCTAAAAGCACAGTGCAAAATATATTGAAACTTAAAAACTAAAATGAATCTAAATGAGTTTCCTTCTGCAGCCCTTTTGAAAGTTCTGAGGTAGCTGTCGACCCCTGGGAAAGGCACACAGCTCAGATGATGGGAGTCAGCCAAGCCTAAACTATCATGTGAGTCGGGTATGGATCCTGTCATTACCACCAGCGGTGTGAAGGAATGCCCGCTGATAACCAGTGCTCCCAGGAAGTGCCAATGAAGCCCACAGACTCTCTGACATTCCTCCCTTCCCCTCCCTCGGACTGTGGTCCGGACACGGTGACATGTGAACAGAGCAGGACAGAAGAGACTGTGTGACTCCCGAGATGAGGTCATAGAGCCCGTGGCTTCCTCCTTGCTTCTCCCACGACCACTCAATCAGGGAAAGCTGGCGGCCATGTTGTGAGGACACTCAAGCAGCCATGCAGAGTCCATGTGGAGAGATGCCAAGGCCTCTGCCAACAGTCCTGTGGGTGGCCCTCAGGTGCCAGCAGCCCTGGTCAACATTTGGTGTGACCCTGAGCCAGGCCACTCCCTAATTCCGGACCCACAGGAATAAATAATAAAGGTAATAAATATAAATAAATAAAGGTAATACATGGTTACAGTTTTAAGCCGCTGTTTGGAGGTCACCTGTTACCCAGCACAGATAGTTACTACACAAACTCTCCAGAGGCTTCCTAGAAAGCGGAAACCCACAGCAACACCCTGGCACCTACCCGGGCATCCTGGTCAATCAGCTCGTAATCGATGACAGAGCCGTCCTCTGCTCTTCTGCCCTACAGAGGAAAAGTGAACAACATCAGGCGTATTCCTTTGCACGTTTTAATGCTGTTTTTCTCTCCAAGTCATGTAAGCCATTATTTAATTCACTGAACAAATACCACTTAAATTTTTCCTTAACTTTGAAGTCTAGACCAGACCAAGAATCAATAAAATAGTTGAGGAAGTGGAGTGGGGTACGCTGTCGTGGGCTAAGCCCCTTACAGGATATCCCCACTCCAAAAAGAATAAGAAGCTAATGATAGTGAGTTTCTCCCCTCAAGCAGCATACAGTCCCGATGGAGAATAAGCACAGCCCATGTGGGAAGGCGCAGCCATCTATGGCTCTAAGACGTGAAATGCAAGTGAGAGAAAAGTCTGTCAGAGAGCAGAGCCAGCAAGGTCTGCGGACAGTGGGGACGGTGGAGGAGAGCCTGGAAGGATGTCAGCCGGGCTAGTGAAGGGCAGGGGAGAAAGCCCTCCGCAGGGCAGCAACAGCATGGAAGGCTGAGACCCTGCAGCTCAGGGGAGGGAGGTGATAGGAGGTGCCTGGCCAGAGCAGGGGAGAGGAGGGAATCCCAGGAAGATCAAGTCAGGGAGAACCAGCGCACAGAGGACTTTTTCAAGAAGCAGAAAGCCACGCCTGGATTGGATGCAGCTGAAGTGGCTTTTGATCAGGGGGATAAAATGGTGGAAATGAATTGCAAAAGAGACCAGTGGATGGCGGCAGGCGGGGGAAGGAAGGGGGGGGGGGAGTGGGGAGGGGAGGCAGCGCGGAGCTGCCCCTGCAGAGATGCCAGTGGGCAGGAGGCAGCACCCAATCGGTCACTTGTCATCAGTTCCTGGAGAAAGGAATTTCTCTTTTCTCCCTGGTTCATAGGCTTTAAGCTTCACACTGGTCAGAACTCAGATTCAGAAAGAAAATGCCTTTCACCCTCATGAATGTGCTAACATCAGCAGACAAGCTAAGGCCTTCCTCCCCTCCCCTCTCCTCCCCTCGCCAGGCAGAAGATTACACAGGCAAATCCTCATCAGCAGTGAGAGCAGGTGAAAGGAACAGGGTCACTTCCACTGGGTCCTAGGTGACCACAGAGAGGCAAAGCGACCTTCCTTATGTCACAAGAGCTGGCACCTAAGTCCAGGCCAGGATGTGAGAGGCCCCCCCCCCCCACCTCCTCTGGCCCACAAGTCCACCTGGCCATGCCATTTTGCTGGGTAAAAAAATCCCATTACACAAAAATGACAGCTCTGCAGGGACAGGGCAAACCCACCGTCGGAAGGAAATGCAGATGCCATTTCTAGTGCGGGCACAGAGGATTGAGTGAATTCACTCTCAAGTATAAAATGAGGTATGGGACTTGCCTTAGGACAAAGCAAAGACAAAGAAATAAACCGGAAACCAACCTTCGCGAGGGCGACCATCAGCTTGCGGAAGTCGCCAGATGTGTCGGAAATGATGTCCTTCTCCAGGTCAGTCTTGTACACTTGGAAAGCAACACATGTGGGTTATGCTTCCTGCCTGTGCATCCCAGCCAGCCACTCTAATTAAGTTAATAATAATGAACCTACCTATATAGTTTAAGTTTAAAAAATGTGGCTCTCAAAAGAAATTCAATCATTGAACTGCTGATATTTGGCTCTGCTGACTAATGAGGTTGCCGACCACTGAGCTAGGGCCCCTTCTGACCTTTATAATAGATTTGATTTCTCTCCTGTCTGTCCTGTAGAAGTTCTAGTGAAAGGTAATAATCAAAACCTGGGCCATAAGAGATGGAGGAGAGGGACCTGGGCCACAGCAAACCCCTGGACAAAGGGCAGGCATTTCTGCATCCGTAACCAGGCCTCGTGTACTGAGCAGTGGCCCAGAGAGCTATGATGGGGGCAGAGAAGCTGGGCTGAGAGGGTGTGTTACAGAAGCAGGGCTACTCACTTTCCTTGTAGACTCTGTTAATTTCCTGCAGCTCCTGGTTGGTCCTGGAGCAGATGATCTCAATGAGAGAGTCCTCATCAGTGCCCAGCCCCTGTGAACCAGGCAGGACAAATGTCAGCAGGCAAGGTCCCCGGGCCATTAGCTTTCTCTGACTTAAACCAGATAAACTGCAGACATGACCAGGTCTGTTCACATGCTCCCTGCTGCATCCTACTGAGGGATCTGTACTCTATTCCTCAGCACAAGCTAATGTTATTTTCTATTCTTAAAAAAAAAAAAAATGCTTCACCTGAATATAAGATGGTATGACATATTTGAGTTCAACTATATTAAATCTATTTTTATAGTGAATGGGGGGAGACACCAAAATGTTACAAGTGGTTGCCTTTTGACGAAGGGTTTATAAAATGGGTAACTGTTTCTTATTCCCATTTTTTTTCTTCTTTTTCGATTTCTATAACCACCCATTATTTTAATAGATGGGAAAACAACTTTCTTTACTAAAAAACTCTGCTCAGTAATTTAAAAATAAAGGAATACAGAGATGTCATGTTATCATTTCCAGCCAGCATCGTCAGATTGAAATTAAGTCTTTTTTTTTTTTTTAAACTAGGGATAGGTATAGATAAGATTAAATTTCTAGCTTCACCTCTTTGAAATGTAAAATTGGGTTAATGTTAAAAATTTCATTCTTGTATTTCCATTTTTGCTCGATTACTATGCACTCTTCGGGCATTTTAGGAAAAGCAAAAGGAAATAATGAAGTGCCAAATAAACCTAGACATCAACATTTTATTAAGGAATAAGAATTTGCCGGGTGATGTATTCAAATTTAATATATACACTTTTGAGCGTGCCAGATAGCTTGAAAGGATGCAATGAAACATGTATTTCAAAGCTAGCTTCATGATCAAAGCCAAGATTTAATAATCAGGACTCTCTAATACTTGTCTTTCTGAATATGGAAATATCACTTTGAACTAAGTGGAATTACAACTGTTTAAAATGTAAATCAATTATAAGGTGTTACTACAATAAGAAACTTCCTGATCCACATGAAAAGTATGTCAACTATTAATTAAACTTATTAGAGTTTATATGCCCCTGAAAAGTGGTTTGTGTAATATAAACTAAGCCTCAGGTTAATGGTTAATTTTGAATTTTATTCTTAAGTCTAATCTGTGAGCCAATGCCTCTTCCTCCAGAGTTTCTAATCACAATTCACAGTGATTCCAACAAAGTCAAAATTTCTTTTCTTCTTAGCCAAGGGCCTACAAAGCATTCTACACAACTGCTATAGAATGACTACCAAGCACCTTCAAATATTGCAGAGGGCTGTTTTTCCATCTAAAAACAACTTAGGCATTGGAGGTTCTGTTTTCCTCCACCCCTGAGAGACCAGTGCTATCATCTGAAAATTCCAATAGTGGTTTTGTCTCTATATTCACAGGTGACCTTGGCAGTTTCTAAAACTGGGCCCAGCTTTCCCCAGACTGTCCACAATTCCTATCACAAGGGTAACATCTACTGTAACACATGACAGATAGTGCCACTGGTATCGCCAGAAGTCAAAACAGAATTTTGTCAAAAGCACGGTTCAGCTGATGTCACTCAAGCCTTATGGATTTCAGGGGAGTACTCGGCTGTGATGGCTAATGGGAGAGCTGGCATCAGGTCAAAGATTTCGAAGTCAAAGCACCTTTCATTGAGCCCAATCACTCAGGTTACCACAGTGACTGGCAGCTCAAACAGGCCCGTCTCATGTCACTAATCTTGGTAATAGATACTAGCGAAACGGCATGAATCACAACTAATGAGTTCCTGATGAAAATAAGATACACGAGGTGCAATGATGATGGTCAGAAGACACCTAGGAGAGGCAGCTCATTGATGGCTCCAAAGGTCCCTGGCTTGGTTTTCAGGAGTGTTCTTTTTATCAAGCGGGATCATGACCTGTGGTTGACTTTTATCATTCTTAATCAGATCTCCCCTGCAATTTAGTTGACTTAGGAAACTCGGGGCAAGGCTGCTCAGATAAACTAGAGAAGAAAGGAAGATCTCACCACAAATCTCTCAGCAGCCTGGAGCGACCTATGGAGTTTGGGACCCTGGACATGCCTGGTGTGGGAATCTGTCTCCCTCGAGAGAGGCTCTCTGGGGAAAGGGATGACAATCGAACTGTGACATCAGCTCTGGTGACAGGCTTGAACTCCTCAGAGTTCAGGAACAGTGGCACCATAGAAAACGCACTCGGACTTAGAATTAAAAAATCAGAGCTTTGGCTTTGTCCCTAAGGCGGAGGCTTCCCCAGGTCTGTCAGCAGAGGGCAGTATCTGATTACTCAAAGTGGAGCAGCCACACACTATGAAAGGATCGTTTTGTGCTTTGCTGGGACATGCATTTATGTCTATGCATCTGTTACATTTGTATACTGCTTAATGTTTTAAGTGCACACAAAATACAGGGTGTTTCCAAACTGTAATTCTGACGCTCTAACTTAAACTAAAATTCCATGTTCAAAATAATTTCAAAAAGAAAAACAAGAGGAAATATGTGCTACAATGCTTAAACAAGAGGCAGGTACCATTCACAATCTGAAATCACTCTTTATATGCATACTATGATGGTCTGATTTTGCCCGAATTGGAATTAAACAAAAGGGTTCACAAGGAGGTCAGGCAAAGGAACACCCAGGAGAGGGGCAGAATATGCAAGCACCACTTAACAAAAGCTCCGAGTTTTACTTTTGCCTCACTATCACAACAACTCTTTTCTAAGGAGGAAGTGTAATCAAGGAAGTAGTTTTTCCAAATGGTATTTCAATTGCCCAGGTGCCAAGCAGTAGCAGCTGGTAACTGACTTCTCAGCATCATGAAATTTCTTTACAGGCTTAAAAAAAAAAGTAATTGGAATATTTTTGGTACAAATCTTAAGACTTATTGCTTCAGTTCATTCAAAAAAAAAAAAAATGGTTCCAAATGAGAATTCAACAAAACCGAAAATCACCCACTTATCCTCAGAAAGCTGTAATTCACAAATATTAACGGCAGACTCGGCCGGCTGAGATTGCATCCCACACGTGCGTACCTTCATGGAAGCCTTCAGCTCGGAAGCATCATACTGAGCAGGTGTTTTCAGGAGGCCCAGAATCACGGTCTCCAGGTGGCCGGACAAGGCTGACTTGAGTGCTGATGCAAGTTCCTTCAGGAAAAAACAAGCAAGAACATGGAAAACTTGGTTGGTAACCAATATGCACTTTAAAACTTGAGGAAAACAAAAGAGGGATGTGCTTGGGAAGCAGGTTGTGATTCTGTGACTATTCAGGGTCTTGGATCAAACTATCCCTCAGCTGTAGGCCCTTCAACAGATGCAGGTGTCAGAAACCAAATGATCAGGCCTTGCTCTGACAAAACCCCTTCAAACCTAAGCTGATGGTGCCTTCCTTCCCGGACATTACAAGGAAACCAGAGCAGGATTCAATTCCTCAGAAAGGGACGAGGGCAGTTTCCCAGACACTTGCACGTGGCCAGAGCCGGTGGAAGAGGGGCCTCTGCTAAGAAGGAGCTGGTTTGAGTGGAGAGCAGGGAGTTGTGACCTGTGGATACCATCCTGTGAAAGGTGTTCGTACAGCTGTGCCAAGGGTGGCTCCAGAAGGGACCGGGGCTGGAAGGGGCTCACGAAGCCTTCCTATGCAAACACCTCGCCCAAGACTGAGAAAATGCCGGTCTGTTCATGCCACATTGGGATGGGTTGGTGGTGACGAGGGAGACTAAATTAGCCCTGATTACCTCTCTGACTTCCCCACTGCATGCTATTTCTCAAGGGTTCCACTGTTACATTAACACAGATTTTAAGTCATGAGTTGGTGGCACCCATGGATGCAGACAGATACCCCAAAATTCAATGCTGCTCTTTGATGATGCTTCCTCGGGATTGCATTTCCTACAAATCATGAGCACTGGGGGACAATGCACTCTGCTGTTTTAATCATTTTCTCCTCTTCCCTTTTCCCCTCCTCTTCTCTCCCTTCTTCCTGTCTCTCCTGTTTGCCAACAGCACCCATGGCCCCTACGCAGACCAGCCCCTAGAGGTGCTTGTGGGCGCTAAGAGGTGATGAGAGAATCTTCTCACGTCACTCACAGAGGTTGAGAACGGAGATGGATCATCCTAGCGTGATCCGGCCCACCCCTTCCAACACCAACATTCTCCCGCTTCCCGCCGGCCTAGTTACACACAGCACGTAGGAGGGGACTTTAAAAGCAACACCTCCCAATTATAGCACCAATTTTCCAACTTGGAACTTTGAGGTTAGGTAATTCCAAACTTAGCCTACCCCCGTCACTCTCCTCTCTCTACCTGTTCTCTGTTCAAACCTCAAATAGCATCTGTGTACCTACTGACGTCCTCCGCTTCTATTATAAACACCTATGGGCTGAAGTCCAGCTTCCTCTGTGCCTAATGTCTAGCACAAGGCTCTGCAAGAACAGAATCTCCAGAAACGTCTGATAAATAAAACATAATCTCTCCTTCTACGGAGAAACCCGGCATCTGGATCTGCTGGAACGTGAAAGCAACACAACACCAGCCCTCTCTCCCAGCTCCTACCAGTTCTGCCCAAGCTGCTCCAGTTCATCACCTCAAAGCCCCATAGCCCTAAAGTCCTCTGCACTACAGGGCTTTCTCCTTTCTTATGCAAAAGACTCCTTCAAAGAAAGGACAAGCAGTTTACACATCTTTCTGTAAAGATGGGCATTCTTCTTAGCCCAGGGCCGAGGAGCACCAGGCAGCAGCAGGACAGCGAGCTCTCCCGGGCACACAGAAGAGCCGGGGAGGCCACTGAGCCCATCATGGCTCTGGCAATCTCTTCCCTCCAGCAGGGCACAGAGAGCGTGGTCCTCCATCTATCTAATTTAAAATCGAGATTCAGGCTTCTATATCTCTGTGCACCCCTATGTGTGCGCCAAGACCCCACCTTGTGGGTGACGGCTGAGGAGCAAATAGGCACACTGTCCAAAGAGGTGGGCCTTCTATGCCAACCGAAACTCAGTTCCAGCTCGCAGATCCCATTGGGAAACTGGGGAAATGATACGCTCCCCTCGTGCCTTTGGAGCCTTTACACAAAGATCACTATCCATCTGCAAAAGTGATCTATATTTATTTTAGAGATTGCTATACATCTACTGGAAGAATTTTAAAGCACAATGAGATGAAAGAAGCCAGATACCTTCCTATGTATGTCTTTTCTGACCGGTTCAGGAGGTGACAAGGGGCAAGGGGAAAGTGGTAACAGGGCTTGACCTGCAACTCCCGGAACCCTTGATGGTCATGTCAACCCCGAGGGCAGACACGTCTCCCAGAATGCACCCGGCTCAGCTCCACTTGGCCACGAGTGAAAGCCCTAAGTCAAACAGGAGCCACAGGAAGCCACACTTACTGCACCATCCCAGAATAAATCAAAAGCTTTTAATAGTAAGAAGTTAAAAATAAAGCAGCCCATCCTTAAAAATAAAATTTCCTAACACTGTGACAAAATAAAGGATGAATAAGCCCGGGTCATTCTTTAATCACCGGTGGACACGCAGAAGAAAAAGCACACAAAGACCCTTTCCAGAGTGGGAACATGGCACGCTGAAGATAGCCTGGGAGACCAAAGGAAGCACTGAGCCCGTTCATGGCAAAGCTCCGAGAATTCAAGTGATGTTTTTAAAAAACAAGAGGAACGGCTCAGGATCAATACCTGGTGGAGGCTAGTGTCCAAAGATAAATTAAAAACATCTTATCAGGAGCACACAGAAGTCACAGAGATGAAAGGAGTTGCTGCTATATGTGGAGAACGACATGCCTGGCACCACACAGGCATTCAATGAGTGGCACCCGTTGTGGTTACTCCCTATTCCTTTCTAACTTTCTGTTCCCAGAGCGGCTCCCTCCACACGCCCTGGATTGGAGGAGGGCGTGGTCTTCGTGTAAAGGCTCCGAGCACTCCAGGGCCATGTGTATGCAAGTGGTGACTCCTACAAGGATGTGAGAGGGAAACCTCGTGTGCCCAAGGGTTCCAGAAGGCTCTTGCTGGTACAACCCAGAATTCAAGAAGAGAAAAAAGCAATGGCTGCAAAAATAACATTAAAAAGAAATTCAGTAAGGAGTGCCCCCAACCTCCCAAACTGTCCATACCTTTTTGGTCCTTCTCTGGTAGGCGAAGGCAATATCCTGTCTCTGCTCATTGCTGCGGTTGGTCAAAATGTTGACGATGGTGACCTCATCCACCCCTGTGGACAAACAAGTTGTGAAGAGTTAACCACATGCATGAATCCTCTGGGCTTATATAGAAGCTTTTCAACAGAGGTTTTGTTTTGTTTTGTTTTTTAATATATTTTATTGATTTTTTACAGAGAGGAAGAGAGAGGGATAGAGTTAGAAACATTGATGAGAGAGAATCATCGATCAGCTGCCTCTTGCACACCCCCTACTGGGGAATGTGCCTGCAACCAAGGTATGTGCCCTTGACCAGAATCGAACCTGGGACCTTTCAATCTGCAGGCCAATGCTCTATCCACTGAGCCAAATCAGTTTTGGCTAAACAGAATTTTTAAAATAAAAACTCTTTTCCAAACAAAAATGCCAGGACATCAAAATTCATTCTCTCTCTCTTTTTGCCAGCACCCTCCACCCAATATTTATACCCCCCTTTTCTATTTTTTCCTGACAACTTCACATCTCAAGCCTAAGTGGTCCTTTTAAATACTTTTATTTTTTTAAAAACTATTTGATTCATAAATAGGCTTCTGGAATCAACAGTAGGAGGTGCATTTGCAGGGTTCTGGCAGTCGGATGGAACACAAAGAGGTAGGAGGATTTTAAATGAAGGTCCCCAAATTGCCATTTAACTGAGGATTTAATAGATAGTAACTGGGAACCGAATTAATAGAGACAATTATTTATATTTATTGTGGGAGTATGACTGTATAAGCAGCTAGGTATAATTTCTATAATTATAGGAGCTGTCATGACAAATGAGTCATATTTAATATGGCAGTTGTATTTTAATAGCATAATTGATTAACACAATCATACTTATTGAAGACTAAATTGTTTTGTAAGGAAAATAAATGTTCCACTGCTTTTCATCTTCAACAGGCAATTTTAATAATCAATTTTATAACTTTATTAAAAAGAATAAGTGTTTTAATCTAAATTAAATCTAAATTGGGAGTTCTGAAGTGCCACCGAAATATTTTAGCGCTTATTTTAATTGGAACATGTGTATTTACACAGATAAGCAATGCCTTCTGGTGCCTGAAAGTTTCTCATTTTATGTGAGAAATACTCCTAACAGGCCATTTACCTTCAGAAAGCACAATTTTAAGGATTCAGAGAGTGAAAGGTCTCTCTCTTGATTGCAATATGAACTTTGTTTAATGGAGTCTTTGCCATAACTGGACAGGTACTTCTTGGGTGAGAGAGCAGAGCGGTTATACGCACAAGGTCACATGCCAACTGTAAGCAGCCTAGCCCAGAAGCAGCCAGGAGTCCCAAAGCCCTAGAAAGGTCAGAACTGGGGTGCTCTGAGGCAGTCAATGAGCAGACTGACAGAGGTCTCCTCAACTCTCAAGCATGTCAGAAAGGTAAAAAAAAACAGAGAGTTAGAATTTCTGGGTATTAAAAAAAAAAAGTGAGCTCATACCAATAAGTGAGTCAGTTATGTTAATTGCAGCATCTGTTATTTTAGCTCTGGTGTTTGAAGTAGCCAGTGTCAACGTAGAAACCCAACTGCTGTATGGGAGATTCAGTTTCAGAGATGCTTACTAGTGTTTCAGCATTGTGTGTAATGTCAAAAAATAAAAGGAGGAAAACCCACATCCATTAAGAGACTGATTAAATAAATGTTTTTTTGTTCATATGGTGGGATACTACACAGTCAATTAAAATGATGCCATAAAATAATAATTGAGCCCTAGCTGGTTTGGCTCAGTAGATAGAGTGCTAGCCTGCAGACTAAAGGATCCCAGGTTCGATTCCAGCCAAGAGCACATGTGAGGGTTGTGGGCTCGATCGCCAGTGTGGGAGCGCAGGAGGCAGCTCATCATTGATGTTTCTATCTCTCTATCCCTCTCCCTTCCTCTCTGAAATCAATAAAAACATTTAAAATGTAAATAAATAAAATATTAATTGACATGGGAAGATGCTCACAGTACATTAAGTATAAAATGAAAAAAAGATTGCAAAACAGTATACCCAGTATAACCCAATTTTAGTAAGATACATAATGCATGTATAAGAAAAAATATAAAAACCTTTATACCAAAATATAAAAACCTTTATACCAAAATTTTAATAGTGTCATGTGAGTGATGGAATTATGGATGATTTAAGATTCTATTTCTTTTTATTATATATATATATTATATAAAAATAGAATATATATTATATATATATATTCCAAGTTCACCATAATGACCAGAAAAGGTGTTTTTGTTTTTAATATACTATGAGTGACGTGCATGCATTATTCTAACACCAACTAGTGATTTCACTTCAACAGATTCCTGACATGGTTCAAAATACATTAATTAATAAAACACGATGTCTAGAATAAATAGGAGCCCGATCTATGAAATTCTCTCTGGTTTCTAAAACATCCTAACATCTGTCTTATGCAAACACCTATGGGGAGAGCTATTGCTCTTCCTAGTCAATAGATGAAGACAGTGAATTTGGAGATTGAGGCCCTGCCATGCAAATGTCACCTGTGTGAACATCTGCCCTCCGTGGGTCTCACTTTCCACACCTGCACAGGTAAGAAGCTTGCACAGTGACCTCCAGTTTTGCTTCCACGAAACACTCACAGACCGAATCAAGCTTTCACATATTTAGATTCAGTCAGATATGGGCAGGATAGAGTTATTCAAGGACTCCTTGAAGCCGAGGGCTACTTTAGCGATGTGGGTCTGGGCACGGGCACCTACATGCATGCCTAACCACACATGTGTGCTCCCTGCCCTGAGGGCTCTCTCTGTCTCTGTTCTGGGATTCTAACTCTAAATCAGAAACACCACTTGTTATGTACATTTTTTTTTCTTTGTACTTAACTTTCTTACCCAAGTCTGAAGACGCAGGGGAACAACAGCAAAATAGAGTTATATCCTCTAACCTCAATTCTAATAGTTTCTTAAATCAATTTTGGGGCTGCTGATCTGAACACATACCAAGAACACAGACCCATAAAAAACAGTCCTCCCTTGGGAACAGACTCAGCTACATTTGTGTCGGAATGTGGTCCAGGCCCACCTGAAGTAGGATCCCATGGAGCACTTATTAATATCACAGTCCCCTGGGCCCCATCTGAGACCTACTGAGTAAAGGCTCTCTGGGACTTTGAACCCAGGAAGCAGCATTTCAGCCACTCCCTGTAGATAATTTAAGAATCACATGGCTGAGCATCAGGAGGGACTGGAAGCTCTTTAGAAATCTGCCCACGCCCAAGACTCTCACGTATGCTTCTACCAACTGCTTCTGTCAGGTGCAGGCTCGCCTATAATTTTAGGGAGAGAAATGTTTACTCTGTCCCAACAACTCAGGGAAGGAACCACCCCTGGAAAGAGCCTGCCACCCAGACGGCAGTGCAGTCATGCTCTTAAGTCAACCCGACTTTGGCTTTTCACCGGCTCAGTGAGTCGGAATTCAATCCAACTACTGGAAATCCCCATGAAGAGCCTGGGTAGTTAACCTGCATCTCACCTAGGAGGCAGCCGGTGCTGTGGCCGGAAGAAATCTAAATGCATTTTACCTAAATTATTTACCAAGCACACAGCCTGCTGCGGCGCAGCTCCCGACAGGCTGGGACGCCTTGCCAGGAAACACTCAGGCGCTTGACAAAAATGCTAACTCGGAGGAATTAAATGGAGATATTTCTTCAAGTGGAAACCCGCTTCCCCTTATGAGCATCTCAGCTATGCCAGCCAGTTCTGCTATACTGCTGTCTGCAAGTTTCAAACTGAGCTGGAAACATGAAAGAACCATGGAGCCCAGAATCAACTGCCTACTCCCAGGCACTCCAGGCACGTCCTGGGTCATAACACCAGAATACGCATATCTGCTGGTGGAACTTAAGCATCTTATCTTCAGAGCGCTGCTGCTTCCTCCTGACCTGCCATCATGATGGGTGAGACTGTTATTCCTGTGGAAAACAGTCCAGGACAGGTGGAAGCTGCAAGGGTCATCCGGTTACTCACCCTTCCTGCCCAGGATGCAGCTGAAGGATGAGGACTGGACACTGGGCTCCCTACACCAGCACAATCACCGTCAACAATGGGCAGAGTGCAGTCCGCTGGGAAAGCTCTAACAAAGGTAACCCAGGCGCAGATGCCTGGGGGAGGAGGCATTTGCACTTTTTATTTAGATGGCTCTCGTTCCAGTGTGTAGGGAAGTGTTTGCTGGGTGGAAGGTAGGGCCCAGGATCTAAACAAAACTGTGTGGCTTGCGCAAAAAAATCTGGAGAAAACAACAAATCCAGGTAACGTTCCTTTCCTAGCCCACTGTGCTTGTGTTTGATGTGGAAGGTCACAAAGTGCTCCAAGCAAAGGCTCACACGGGCACCCAGTGAGCTGGGCAGGGGAATCGCACAGAACGTGAGTGAGAACACAGAAATCCTGTGGTCCAAGCAGCTTTTTAGAAATTTATTTTCAAAATGAATCGAGCCGGAACTGGTTTGGCTCAGTGCACAGAGCATCAGCCTGCAGACGAGAAGGTCCCGGGTTTGATTCTGGTCAAGGGCATGTACCTTGGTTGCAGGCACATCCCCAGTGGGGGCTGTGCAGGGGGCAGCTGGTTGATGTTTCTCTCTCATCAATGTTTCTAGCTCTCTATCCCTCTCCCTTCCTCTCTGTAAAAAATCAATATAATATATTAAAAATAAATAAATAAAACAAACAAAATGAATCGAGATTAAGAGTTTCAAGATTGGTGAGGACCTAAGACAAACTTCCTTGGCTCCTGATGGGAACTAGGGCCATGAAGTCTGTGAGCATTTATGCCTTGGATGAGAACGGTTGGCTGCCTTCATCGGTTAACTACAGGCTGTTTCCAGCCCTCTGAGCTGGGCCTTGGGAAGGTCAGTCGCCGTCCCAAGGGCCAGTCAACCTCAACCACATGAGGCCACAGGGAGGCGCCGCGGATGGCGGGGCTCACGCAGAGGAGCGGGGGCGGTGGGTGCCTTAAACCACCGCTGTATTTTTAAAACATGAAGAACACTGGCAGTCTAAAATAGTGG